CTGTCTGTCCGGGGTGGGGGTCGGGACCCTTTAAGCACAGCCCTCGGCTAGCCTGAGACAGCATCTCCACGCTCTAAGTCCTCCTCTGATGGCCTGCTGGCACTGCTTCCGGCCATCCTCAAGCCTGGTTCAGGGTCCACTTAATGTGGACATGCTAGTTCGAATTAGCAAAACGCTAATTCGAACTAGTTTTTTAGTCTAGATCCGTTAGTTCGAATTAGCTTAGTTCGAATTAACTAATTCGAAGTAAGTTAGTTTGAATTAACGTTGTAGTGTAGACATACCCTGGGATTCACTCAGTTACCACAGGTACTGGAAGCTACTTTGCAGTCTCTGTTGGCCAAAGAGACAGTGCCCCAAATGGCTGCTCGGCTTGTCAGGCTCCTTTTCCTCAGGTAGGGAAGCAACTAGCATCTGCCTCTTCACCAGTCAACCCTGAACTGAGCCAGGTTAGTTTCAACAACAGAATACGTCAAGATAGTAGAGGTAAAGGAAATTTGTTCACATTTCACACACAACTATAAATATGAGGAAGATTTAAGTTCCTTATTCAAGTACTGTATATTCAGCCATTTTTTATTCTTTATTATTTTGCCATTTTAAAATCTGCCTGCTTAGACTGATGATTTACACCACAGTTCTTTCTTTGCAACACCGACAAAATGATCATTTTGCTTTTTCAATGAATCACCAGCAATTTTTTCTAAGCTACTAACATAAACATTCAAAAGCAAAGATGTACTATAAAGTTCTAAGGCAGAGTGTGAATATTGAGTGGAGGAGATTCTATTGAAATATTATTGCTGTATTTTGGGTTAGCCTGTATTAGTGACAAACTGCTCACAACACAGCCTTTTCTTGATGACTGCATGTATTTTCTCATTAACAATGCTGGCTCAGATTCTCAGCCAATGTAAATTGGCATAATGCCATTGATACTGGTGGAACTACACTGATTTCTACCAGCTGAGGATCTGATTAATAAAGTTGAATTTCAGATTTCAGATTATTGAGAAGGAGTGAAGGTAATGCTGGCATAGGGACAGCTCTGAAAAAAGAAAATTCCATCAAAGCCAAAACATTTCTGTGTTGATGATGTTTTGTCAGGAAGGTGAGAGAAAACAAAACTCTCTTGTGTTGTTGCCTGGCAGTGATGGAATGGGGAGGGGAAGTGTGAGATCCCGCTTCAAGCCTCTGCTCTGCTCTGCCTGATTCAGCAGCTTGATCCTGATTCTTCTTCCCACATCCCAGACACAAATGTTTTGTATTTATTCCAATGTGGAATGACAACAAATTTAGGGCATTGAAAGTTGCTGCAAAAACAGACCTGAAATCCTTCTGCCCACTCTGTAGAAAGCAGAAGGACATGCCTCTATCCAATGGGCAGAGGGAGAATTTACTCTGGAGAATTTTAAGAGAAGTACAGGCAGTCCCCGGGTTACATGGATCCGACTTACATCGGATCCCTACTTACAAACGGGGTGAGGCAACCCCGCACTAGCTGCTTCCCCCCAGCAGACTAGGGAGACGCGAAGCTAGCGCCCTTCCCCAGCAGACCAGGGAGACACGGAGCGGCTTGTCTCAGCAGACACCTCAGCTTGAGAATAAAGGACTGAGGGAAGTGAGGTGTGGGAGAATAAAACTGAGCTCTGGAGAAATGTTTGGCTAGAGTTTCCCCTACAATATGTACCAGTTCCGACTTACTTACAAATTCAACTTAAGAACAAACCTACAGTCCCTATCTTGTACATAACCCGGGAACTGCCTGTAAAAATATTAGCGGCAGCAAAGATGTTCAGTAAGCATGAAGTTACAATGGGTTAAAAACATGGACTTTGCTAGTTTGCTCAGAGTAGCATAACCCCTAGGACAGGAACTGGAACAAGGTGAATGAAGGAAAGACATCTCAACTGACAATGGTCACGCCCCAAACTGACTGAGGTGTGTTTTATATCTTTCATTCTGGGACAAATCAGCAGCAATTCTTTTGAAGTCAGTGGAGTTGCACCATTGTCAATTCAGTGCAAGTGCGGAGAATCAGTCCCTTAGAATTCAAGATGAAGTGATGCAGCATTTACAGTGGGAAGCAGCAATAACTCACCATTATAACCACTCATTTTCTCTGAGTTTTGCACAACAGCTATAGAAATGCATTAATTTTGATGCAAAACCATGAATTGGCCCACCGTTGCTTGAAACTGGATTCTTGTTTGCTCAAGATGTTTCACAAACCTCACAAATTTTTCTGTGGCACTTCCTCCCAGTTTCAGATTTTTAACAACCCCCCCCAAAGCTGTTGCAGTGTGTTTGACTTAAGGTTTTCTCATTAACGTTTTGCATAACTCAGCTGTACAACTGTCTCTTCAATTGCACAGAAAAGACAAATACTCTGCAATTTGTTCAAGAAGCATTCCTTAAATCATAGAAATAGTTTGTGCTGAATTGTACTTTAGAAACAGTCACTGTGAATGCAAATTGTGTGCAAAATGTATAAACATCTATAACAAATATTTGTGTTATGCAGAAGATGCAAAAGTTAAAAAAATTCCTGCAACATTCATCCAAATTTAACCTGCAAGAAAATCAATAACTGCAAAGCTTATTTCAATTTTGCTTTTTATGGTTGCCATAATACAGAACAGGCCTTTTACTCCTGCCTAAGCTTAGGATAGAGAAGTATCCTACAGCTGGAATAGGCAGAATATGATTCCTCCTTCTCCGTGTTGAGTCAGAATAGCCTTGTAACTAGCTTTCTCATACAACGGCACAAAAGAGAATAAGTGGGCAGATAGTATGACAGGTCTGAATTAATTTGTTTAATTTTTTAGGTTTGTGTAGTTTATTTATATTGATTATTGTCAACTCCATTGCATGAACAGCATCAGTTTGGCCTCTGTAATTCAGATCAAACAATTCTGGTGATGTGTGAGGCCAGGTTCTTCCACTTAAAATGGTGTAAATGAAGAGTAATCCTACTGAATTTGACGAAATTATATTACTGTGTAAAACCATCTTAAGTTAGAGTATAATCCAGCCCATGATTCTTTTCTTCTATAGTGCAATCACAAGGGAACTCACCTCCATGCTCGAATTAGGTTGAGACTCATTCAGGAAAGATGGAGAGATACTTGATGTGCAGCATACTTGACAAAGAGGCATCATCAACACTAGTAATGTGACTACTTTAAATAGTTGAAGAGCTTGCAAACTGACAAAGATCATTGCAGCATAGGAAGTATCCCAGAGAGGGAAAGAAGACAGAGCCTCTAATTTCTTGCACTTTGTTGCTTTCTATTTCTTTTATTTTCCTCCATGCACATTTCTAGACATCTGAAACCTGACAGCTAGTTCCACATCATCAGTCACTGTGATGCTCTTTGCTTTTTTTTCCATTCTGACACTTATTCTGTTGATTTACAAATGTGTGTGTTCAAGACAATTGTAAGGGAATTAAGAAAAATTAAAGCATGTGGCCTTCAGAGTATTATGTCTAATATTAAACAAGCATGCGTCACACCTCTTGGATAAGAGGATAAACAAAGGATGACAAAGTAAGTGGAAGGTGGAAACAACAAGGAAGAGATTAGGGGAAAAAATTCCACCAGGGCCAAACTTATCTCCTGGTTACATTTAGGCAGCAGGCACTCTGCATATGTATCCACAGGCAAAATTTAATTACACAAATCCAACAACTAAACAAAGGAGACGTATAAGAAAATTGTAGTAAAATAAATCACCGGTGTGACTAAGTAAAGAAATTCCTTACTTGTGGCATGTTCTACACTTTCTTTACTAATTGAATAAATACTATTCACTTACCTGTGAATGATATGGTATCGCTGCAAATAGTCCAATGAAAGTGCCAGTTCACAAATATATAATTTAACAGTTCCTTCGTTAAAATGTACATTCTGTTGTAAGTGGTAACGCAGATCCCCTCCAAGTAACAGATCTACCACCATAAACATGTCTTCTTCATCTTGAAAAGAATACCTGGAAAAAATAAATTATGAAAATGAAAAATCTCTGTTATTCCATTTAATTCAATGAGCTGTGTTTGACAAGGTAAGATCTTAAAAAAACAAAAACCAGCCATACCTTTCAATTATCTAGTAGATCTGCCCATGGTAGGATTACTATATGTTCAAATACAATAGATTGTTTTCTGTTGTGCTACTAATACTAGCTCAGTCCTGCATTCCTTGGGCACCCAAACCTCACTCTGACAACAGCAGCTCTTTTGGTTTCACAAGGGAAGCAGAACTGAGCCCATGGCTATCACCTGTCATATTGATTCTGAGAAATGTAGAAAATCAGTTTTAACACTGATTTATTGCTGGGCTGTACAGTATTTAGAAAATCTTTAGGGATTTATGTATTTTAAAATAATTATGTATCTTTCGAATCCATAAATTGCTCTGTCAAGTAGCAAGAATAAAACAAGGCTTATAAAAACATGCTTGGTATTTAGATAAATGTGGTCATAGGTGATGAGGGTTAAAAAGGACTGCAAAGATCATCTTCTCTCACCTCCTGCCAAGATACAGGATTTGTTGTGTCTAAACCATTCAAGACAGAAGGCTATGCAGCCTCTTTTTGAAAACCTCCAGTAAAAAAGTTTCCACAGCCTTCTAGGGAGTCTGTTCCATTGTCCTGTTTAATCTAATCTAATCTTCTATGCTGCAGTTTGGACCCATTGCCTCTTGTCCATATATTGTCCATATATATTCTCCATATATACACTTTATAAAGCAGGGCTAGTCAACACAAGGCCATTTGTTTGCGGCCCCCGGAGGAATTTGGATTTACGTGGGGCTCAAACCACGGGTGGGAGCCAAAAACAAAAAAGTAGTCAATATAATGGTCTTCTGTTGATATGTGTTTTAGTAGTTAAATTCCTGCATTGTCATTGCTCATTAAAAGTGCTGTCATAAGGATGGAAATCGGGTAAATATTGCTTTTTATTAATATCAGCAGGACAGACTTAAATGGAGCATGCATGTTGTGTAGTCTTGCCGTAATCTTTGTATCCATGCCTGCCAGTGTGAAAGAAGCTATTTGCATATATTTGCATTTATATTTGTATGTATATGCAATCACACTTCACTTGTGGCCCTCTGCATGTGCTGTGAGTATCATTGTGGCCCCGGGGCTTCCAAAGTTGAGTAGCCTTGTTATAAAGTGTCAGTTTCCCCATGGTCACTACTGTATATATTAGGTTATTTTAATCAAACAGCTTTATACAATCTCACTTCTATTCCCAAACACATGCTTTGTGGAATGAGGTACTGCTTAGGGGTTGTCACAGATGGCTCATTAGAATTTAAAATCTTTCTATTCTTTTCAAGCATGGCTCTGAGTAGCCCATAACTGTGGGTGCATCAATCTGCCGTTGCAGTTCTGTGCATCTCCCAAATGCCAGGGGAAAATACGTATTTATTTGCATTATATTTGTTTCTTGATAAGTTGAATCTTTGAAGTAAAATAATAAAGTGGGGTGGCACAGGATGAGTACCTCCTTCACTACACACACAGCACACCTTAGCAAAAGAAATGAAGATCTTAGTTTATGTTCAAATTTATTCTGAATACTGCCTACTACGGTGCCTGAAACAATCTCAGAAGTGATGTTTAAAGACTTGGGTGATGTGATGATTAAAACTAATATTTTTTCTTTTTCCTGTTGTGTTTTAACATTGACTGGCTGTAGCTTAAAGTGGATGCAACTATAAAGGTGATCCTCCTTGTTGTTTTGTCCTTAAGCACCTGCTTGAACAAGTCATTCTTTTAAAAAAAATGTATTTATTCCGAGACAAATTGTTGCAGAATTAAAAATCCCTGGTTAAATGTATAAATGCAATACATTGTTTGGTTTGGGACAAGAGATGTCCCATGATCTCTAAAACTATGTCTTGGTGGAATGGGTTATGAGAGGCTTCTGCCACCCACAAAGAGAATGTCTGATGGCCACTTCCCTAAACATTAGGGCTACGTCTACACTGGCATGATTTTCCAAAAATGCTTTTAACGGAAAAGTTTTCCGTTAAAAGCATTTTTGGAAAAGCGTGTCTAGATTGGCAGCACTTTTTGCGGAAAAGCGTCCGTGGCCAATCTAGACGCGGTTTTCCGCAAAAAAACCCCGATCGCCATTTTCGCGATCGGAACTTTTTTGCGGAAAACAGTACTGTGCTGTCTACACTGGCCCTTTTGCGCAAAAGTCTTTCGGAAAAAGACTTTTGCCCGAATGGGAGCAGCATAGTATTTCCGGAAAAGCACTGACAATCTTACATGAGATCGTCAGTGCTTTTCCAGAAATTCAAGCAGCCAGTGTAGACAGCTGGCAAGTTTTTCCGGAAAAGCGGCTGATTTTCCGGAAAAACTTGCCAGTCTAGACACAGCCTAGTTGCTAGAGAGTAGGATTTTTGCTTCTGCTGTTACTAGCTTCCAAAAATCATTTGCTGAAATACTGTGACCTTGATTTTAAACTCATCATCCACTGATTTTCCAAGAAAGAAATGTGGATGAAAAATTGTGCCCATGCAAAGTCTTTGTAGATGGATCTGAGTTATATTAAAGAGAAACAAATGCAAATCTAAAGGTGAAATCTTGGCCCCATCCAAGTCAATGGCAAAAATCCCATTGACATAAAAGGAGGCAGGATGTCACCCTTTGTGAACAAGCCTGCTTCCATAGCCTGTTTTTCTGTGAATAAAATGAATGGCATTGCTTAACTATGCCTCAATCAAACCTTTAATCTGTATATTAGGAAATGTAGATATGGGAGCGTGCACGTATCAAAAAGGAATGAAGGGGATGTAAAGAAAGTAGGGAAAAAAAGAAGCAGCAAGTATTGTAAAAATACAAAATGTAGACTCATTTAAGGCCTGATTCTGTTACATTTTCTCATACTGAGTAATCTTGCTCTCTGAGCAGGCTCAGTGAATGCCACTCCATCCATTCAACTCAACCTGACCCAAACCAGTCCTTATAAAATAAAATCCCAAATCTATAAACCTTACCTTCATGAGTCAAAAGTTTGGTTAACATTTCAATTCTTGTGTCTCTCTGCATCTGCCATGACTGGAAATAGAGAGCTTAACCATGGACAGTGCATAGCACAGGCTGGGGAAGGCCATGCTTCTTCAAATAACCCAATGCAGTTCCAACCATGTTCAACCTCAAGGCCCTCTTCTGCTTGTCACAAGTTACCCCAGCCTGGCAGGCTGCCTTCCCTTCTCAGAAGCCTTCTGGATGGGGCTGGAACAAGCACAATCAGCCCTTGGCCATGACTTGGAGTGGCTGTTGAAGCCCAGCATCCCACCCTGCATTTTGAGATCGGGGGGGCCTGTGTGCCACTCACCTGGCACTCTAGGGCTTGGGAAGAGGCCGTACATCATCAGGCACTCTATGGTTGGAAAGTGACAGCAAACCGCATGCCTGCCAGGTGCCCTGAGGTTGAGGAGGGGGCTGTGCACGCTGCCTGCCTACCCGTCTGTTACTCTCATCACCCATGACTGATACGTTATTTTGCAGAGGTGGACCCTAAACTTTAATAATCCCTAACACTGCCAGCTACCCTGAATCCTAGGATCCTAGAAACAGATCAGTATTCTCTGCAGTTCACATCAGAATAGGCCTTCCATGAACAATGAAACAACACGGAAGTAGAGATGAACAATGGATAGAACATGAATTCACAAGTGGCCTTGTAAATACTATGTAGATAGCAGATAAAGAAATGGAAAGAAAAGTACTGTGTGATAAGTCTGCACCTGCAGCTTTGCTTACTAGCACATTTTATAGCTCATGGAAAGCTTGTTCTGTATAAGAACTGGTCTGTAAAATAAGTCAGTCATAAAGCATGTGATAAAATGAGATATGTTGGACCACTTTGTCATTTTGCATCTTGATGACATTCTGATTTTGACCAAGGACACCATCTCTTAATAACTGAAAAATTACACCAGAATCTTCTGTATGCCAAGCTGGAGAAATGCAAGTTTGAAACTGGACAGCTTTGAATTTCTTGCACGTATTGTATTATCTCTTCCCAAGAAATGGAAATGCACAGCTTCAAGGTGAAGGCCATAATGGACTGCATGACACCAAAGGATGTCTGCGAAATCCAGTGTTTCTTGGGTTTCACTAATTTTTATAAACTATTTATCATAGGATTCTGTGCTTTGGCTAGTGCTCTCACAGATTTGCTGCAGGTTTTCATTGTCCTCAGAAGCACAGGCTACCTTTGATCATTTGAAATAAAAATGCATCAGAACTTCCATCTTGATCCACCCAGACCCTGCCAGATTGTTTACAATGGAAATAGATGTTTCAAATGTTGCGCTCTGTGCAGTACTTTTCCAACCCACTGATCCCAATGATCAGCTTAACTTGAACACCTTTTATTTGTTAAACTCACTCCTAAGATTAATGATGACATCCTGCACATGGAAGTGCCGGCCATCAAAGCAGTCTTTGAAGCATGGTTCCATCTTGTGGTGGGTACTGGGTTCCCATTCCAAGTTGTAACACAACATAAAAACTTGCAATACCTAAAAATGTTCAGGTACTTGACCAATAGCAGTCATAATTTCAGTTTGTGGTCACCTGCTGGCCAGGGACTAGGAACAGGAAGGAAAATGTATTGTCATGAAGGGTATGTCTAGACTGCACCCTTCTGCTGGCAGAGGGATGCAGATTAGGCACGTCAAAATTGCTAATGAAGCGGGATTTAAATATCCATGCTTCATTAGCATAAAAATGGTCGCCACTTTTTTTTCGGCATGGAGCTTTGTCGGAGAAAAGTGGCAGTCTAGAGGCTGATCTTTCGCTAAAGAAAGCCTTGTCCAATAGATCCTGTATGCCTCGTTTTAAATCCCCGCTTCATTAGCCATTTCGCCCAGGCTAATCTGCATCCCTCTGCTGGCAGAGGGTGCAGTCTAGACATACCCGAAAGGGTGAATAGTACAAGAGTGAGGAGATCATGTCTACAG